ATTTTTTAGTAGAGACAGGGTTTCACTGTGTTAGCCAGGATGGTCTCGATCTCCTGACCTCGTGATCTGCCCGTCTCGGCCTCCCAAAGTGCTGGGATCACAGGCTTGAGCCACCGCGCCCGGGCGATCTAATTGTTATAGTGAACTTTTGGTAATGGTTTGTGAGAACAATACAGAGATTTTCATTTCTATTTAGATGAGTTGGTATGAGAATATATGGAACTTTTTTAGGAACTGTTTAAATGTTTGATTTTTAGACTATTAAATATGCCATATGCATAAAGTAAGCCTTTAGCTCTAAGGTAAAGACGACACATTTTCAGTTTGTGACTACAAATAGGTTAAAAATAGTTTTTAATTGTATTAAAAATATAATTTAATGCAGGTTCTTTGAAGCATCTGTCTTCATATGATGGCATTAGAACACCTTGGTATAAAAAAAAGTTATTGTAATTTATGATTATTGAATTTATCCATTCTGAAAATTAATAAGATCTAAAACTGGCATGACAATCAAGATTTGTATTTAGTGAAATTTAAAATAAATTTAAGCCATAGTTAAAACTGTTGCTGCTTTCATGAATGCCCTTAGGTCCACAGTAAAGTCAGAAAGCTGAACCTCTCCTGCTGTTTATAGGATATGTTTATGCTGAATTAATTGCCAGGGTTTCTTAAACTTTTAGGGAATTATACTTTGGCCCAATAGTAGATTCTACAAATTATTTTTTGACTTACTTTCCTTAGAGTTGCAGGAGAATATCTGGCAAGGTGCATTTAATATTTGGAAAAAAGATAAGACCAGTAACCTACTTTAGGAAGAAAATAAGCATAACCCGGCATCAGGTAGGCATCATAAGGTTGAACTGTCCTATCTAAAAAAATATGCAATATACTTTATTACAGAAGTTACTTTAATGCTTAACATTTATGTCTTTAGTTACACACCTCTTCCATTTTAATCTGTTAATAGGGTAGGACATCTAAAGAGAGTTTTAGGAATGACGTCTGTTGGATGAGGTTAGATTTTTGACAGCAAAATGACTTAAAACTGAGTATAGCTCTCCAGAAATGAACACAAGCTGAAGTATTCTGAAGCCAGTGATATTGTCACTGACCATTTGCTGCTTTTTATGTATGTGTGAGTTCATCAAATCCTATATGATTGAACTGATCATTGTTAAGAGACAACATGAGCAGTGATTTGGCTATTATTCATTGTTGCATCTTTGGGTACAAACTTTTCTTTCCAATGGAATAGGTTAATTTCTGCTGAAAGAGACAGTAACTGGAGATAGAAAAAACACGCATGTCATTTTTGGCAGCTCTGCTGTTTTGTTCTTCAGTCACTTGTGCCAAAATCACCCTTCATGAAGATGGTTTCTAGTCGATCTTCTATACAAGCTCTACATCACTTGATGACTGAATACGGCTTCATGAAATCTCGTGTTTCCTGCAGCCTGACAGGTTCTTCTCATTTGCCTTATGGTCCCTGCCTGGTTCGAGAGACTGGTCCGCCTCTGCTTTGAGATTTTGTAGACCCATGTAACTGAGGACCTGTCAGATGACATAGAGTAACATTAGTAGGCAGTCTAGGTTTGATAATAACTCTCAAGTTTATAGCTAAGGGCTTTTTTGCTCCAGTTATGAATTGGACTTTCTTAAGGTATAAAAGCAGTAAACTAGGTTTGCAGAAGAGCCCACTAATTAAAAAGAACCAAGATGTCTGATTTACTCACTTCAGTGTTAACATTAGTTACACCTTTCTTTATTTTTTTGAGACGGAGTCTCGCTCTGTGGCCCAGGCTGGAGTGCAGTGGCACTGTCTCAGCTCACTGCAAGCTCCGCCTCCCGGGTTCACACCATTCTCCTGCCTCATCCTCCCAAGTTGCTGGGACTACAGGTGTCCACCACCACACCCGGCTAATTTTTTGTATTTTTAGTAGAGATGGGGTTTCACTGTGTTAGGATGGTCTCGATCTGCTGACCTCGTGATCTGCCCGCCTCAGCCACCCAAAGTGCTGGGATTACAGGCGTGAGCCACCACACCCAGCCAGTTATACCTGACTTTCAATGTAGCCGAAATGATAGTTCAAATGCAGATCTGAAAGCAGAATCTGACGAAAGCATTCAAAGACTCTACCAGACAGTGCTACCGGGAACTGAGCTGGGAAATCACTTGGACTACAAAGATGGTTTGAGGCAGACTAGTTTTTTACTGTAGTTGCTGATTAATCTTATTAACAGGAAACATCTCAACTGTTCATTACTTATAAATTTACCTTGAGCATGTATAAGAATGACCCTGATGGTGTAAGACTGTCACAGGAAGAATTAAGACATCCTGCAGCCTGGGCAACATAGCGAGACCCTGTCTGTCCAAAAAATAAATTAGCTGGGCATGGTGGCACTGCTTATAGCCCCTTGTGGTAGGCTTAGGTGAGAGGATCCCTTGAGCCCAGGAGTTCAAGGCTATAGTGAGCCATGATCGTGCCACTGCATTCTGGCCCGATCAACAGAGTGAGACTGTCTCAAAAAAAAAAATCCCTCAATTTTCTCCCATCACTTCTTTGTTAGTATATCTACAGAGTATAGTTTAAAGATAAAAAAAGTTAATGGGATAGAATCAGACTTAGCATATCCTGATGGTTTAGAATTTCTTTTCTTACCTTGGCCTAACAGATTAACTGATCAAAGCAGTTAATCCATAGGAATATGACTTTTGCTTACATAACAAAATCCATGCCATGTTCTCAAAGAATATTTTGAACGTTATAATAAGGACTAATTTGGGTTAAACTTTTTAGATTAAAAAACAAAGCAGTTTACCAAAGTAGTGAGAAGTTAATTTACATGGTGTGAAGAAAACAAGCATCTGAAACTTTTTGGCTCTGAGCAATAGAACCCTCCTAGCTTTTTATTATACCCCATGTTCCAAAATGAATTTTAGGTGATTTACAAAGATGTGAGAAAACAATAAATCCAAGAAAATCTGAAAGAAGGGGAAACAGATGTAGGAAAAAAGACAAAGGCTGGGTCTTAACCACACAGTAGTAAATAAGGGCCGTGGCTCCACCTGTACCTGCAGATCCCCTGCCAGGTCTGGCCTGATGCGGATACTCAACTGCACACGAGCGACGATACTGTGTATCCAGCTAAAAGAGAAAAAGAGGAGACACTTCTTAGAATGCAGCTTCTCACAAAGGATAATATTTATCAGGTTCACAGGAAAACCTTGAAATCAACAGTGTAAAAGGCATAGACTACCAACCTGAGGGAAAAGTCAGCTGAGTGCACTGTGTTGAATTTCAAGTAGAAAACCCCAAGCCAGATGCCCACAAAGCCATTTATCGTAAAAATTGCATATTCTTCAATGTTATTACTATGCCGTTAAGAAAATCAGCATTTATAAATAATCCGTATGGTTTAATATTTCAGTTAGCTTCTAAGGGAGTTTGTCTGATTTCTTTTTGTTGGCTGCTGCATATATTTTAAATGAATGCTTTCATTTAAAACAGAACCAGCCTTTTCAGCAACATTAAAATACTTATGACTTTACCACCATACTGAAATTTAACTTTACATTTACTTTTTAGCGTTATGAAATGCAAACATTTCACAGTTACCTCAAGGAATTAAAAATTGTAGAGATATGACTAAAATATTAAAATACAAATATCAGATAAAGCTATATATGACATCCTGCTGGGGCTTATGGATTAAAAACATCCGCCAGTAGTTTCCTTGAGAGAGCACTGAAATCAAGACACCCGGCTAATTTTTTGTATTTTTAGTAGAGATGGGGTTTCACTGTGTTAGGATGGTCTCGATCTGCTGACCTCGTGATCTGCCCGCCTCAGCCACCCAAAGTGCTGGGATTACAGGCGTGAGCCACCACACCCAGCCAGTTATACCTGACTTTCAATGTAGCCGAAATGATAGTTCAAATGCAGATCTGAAAGCAGAATCTGACGAAAGCATTCAAAGACTCTACCAGACAGTGCTACCGGGAACTGAGCTGGGAAATCACTTGGACTACAAAGATGGTTTGAGGCAGACTAGTTTTTTACTGTAGTTGCTGATTAATCTTATTAACAGGAAACATCTCAACTGTTCATTACTTATAAATTTACCTTGAGCATGTATAAGAATGACCCTGATGGTGTAAGACTGTCACAGGAAGAATTAAGACATCCTGCAGCCTGGGCAACATAGCGAGACCCTGTCTGTCCAAAAAATAAATTAGCTGGGCATGGTGGCACTGCTTATAGCCCCTTGTGGTAGGCTTAGGTGAGAGGATCCCTTGAGCCCAGGAGTTCAAGGCTATAGTGAGCCATGATCGTGCCACTGCATTCTGGCCCGATCAACAGAGTGAGACTGTCTCAAAAAAAAAAATCCCTCAATTTTCTCCCATCACTTCTTTGTTAGTATATCTACAGAGTATAGTTTAAAGATAAAAAAAGTTAATGGGATAGAATCAGACTTAGCATATCCTGATGGTTTAGAATTTCTTTTCTTACCTTGGCCTAACAGATTAACTGATCAAAGCAGTTAATCCATAGGAATATGACTTTTGCTTACATAACAAAATCCATGCCATGTTCTCAAAGAATATTTTGAACGTTATAATAAGGACTAATTTGGGTTAAACTTTTTAGATTAAAAAACAAAGCAGTTTACCAAAGTAGTGAGAAGTTAATTTACATGGTGTGAAGAAAACAAGCATCTGAAACTTTTTGGCTCTGAGCAATAGAACCCTCCTAGCTTTTTATTATACCCCATGTTCCAAAATGAATTTTAGGTGATTTACAAAGATGTGAGAAAACAATAAATCCAAGAAAATCTGAAAGAAGGGGAAACAGATGTAGGAAAAAAGACAAAGGCTGGGTCTTAACCACACAGTAGTAAATAAGGGCCGTGGCTCCACCTGTACCTGCAGATCCCCTGCCAGGTCTGGCCTGATGCGGATACTCAACTGCACACGAGCGACGATACTGTGTATCCAGCTAAAAGAGAAAAAGAGGAGACACTTCTTAGAATGCAGCTTCTCACAAAGGATAATATTTATCAGGTTCACAGGAAAACCTTGAAATCAACAGTGTAAAAGGCATAGACTACCAACCTGAGGGAAAAGTCAGCTGAGTGCACTGTGTTGAATTTCAAGTAGAAAACCCCAAGCCAGATGCCCACAAAGCCATTTATCGTAAAAATTGCATATTCTTCAATGTTATTACTATGCCGTTAAGAAAATCAGCATTTATAAATAATCCGTATGGTTTAATATTTCAGTTAGCTTCTAAGGGAGTTTGTCTGATTTCTTTTTGTTGGCTGCTGCATATATTTTAAATGAATGCTTTCATTTAAAACAGAACCAGCCTTTTCAGCAACATTAAAATACTTACGACTTTACCACCATACTGAAATTTAACTTTACATTTACTTTTTAGCGTTATGAAATGCAAACATTTCACAGTTACCTCAAGGAATTAAAAATTGTAGAGATATGACTAAAATATTAAAATACAAATATCAGATAAAGCTATATATGACATCCTGCTGGGGCTTATGGATTAAAAACATCCGCCAGTAGTTCCCTTGAGAGAGCACTGAAATCAAGACTTGATTTCAGGAAGTTTTTTTCTGGTGAAACCCCTATATTTTAGAGATCAAGGGTCAGCAAACTTATTTTTTGTAAAGGGCCAGACAGTTATTATATTAGGCTTTGTGGACCATAGGGTGGTTGTTGCAACTACTCAGCCTTGCTGTTATGGTATGAAGGCAGCTATAGACAGCACATAAACACATGAGCTTGGTGGCACTGTTCCAATAAAAGTTTATTTACAAAACAAGGTGGTAGGCCGAGTGAGTAGCCCAGGAACTGTAGTTTACTGGCCCCTATTCTAGATGAAAACAGCAAGGAGCGAAGTGCTAGTCTGTAGTGCCAGGCCAAGGACTCACAGCTAGCATTCCTTTTTTTTGGAGACAGAGTCTTCTCGGTCTGTTGCCCAGGCTGGAGTGCAATGGCGCAATCTCGGCTCACTGCAACCTCCGCCTCCCCAGCTTAGCCTCCTGAGTAGCTGGGATTATAGGTGTGCACCACCATGCCTGGCTAATTTTCTTGTATTTTTAATAGAAATGGGTTTCACCATGTTAGCCAGGCTGGTCTCAAACTCCTGACTTCAGGTGATCTGCCCATCTCACCCTCCCAAAATGCTGGGATTACAGGTGTGAGCCACTGTGCCTGTCTCACAGCTAGCATTCTTAATAAACTGAGCAACTATCTATCTCCCTTTTTATGACAGCAAATGGGGAGAGAAATGGTAAGTAATTTTTACTTTGTTTTTTGTTATAAACCTAAAGAGAAGACTGAAATGTTTTCATCTGTTCAGTTTTATTCCTAAAGCAATAAAAAATTAAACATTTTTAGCCATGTGCAGAGGTGCACACCTGTAATCCCAGCTACTTGGGAGGCTGAGGTGGGAGGATCACTTGAGCCCAGGAGTTTGAGGCTGCAGTATGCTGATTGCACCACTACACTCCAG